AAAAAAATTTCTGAATAAGCCAAAACTTTCGTAGGCCGGTATATAGTATAATCCTAGCTTTGCGCAATTTTATTACGATTTGTGGTGGCTCTACAGCCTCATCTTGTTGACTATATTGAGTTGTTGGGGGTGCTCAACTGGCGATGGTGCTCATCTGGTGCACGGGCACTGTAGCGCCGAACGCGTCGGCCGTATCCTCAATAATACCACCACAAGCCGGACAAGCACCCGCACCCACGCATGCGAATTGCCCTTCTCCAGTACTCCGTATATTAATCATACACTTTATTTTTTTCACAGTCCAATGCGGAGCACTCCGTAAAATCAAATCTGCCCCGCCAGCCCCCTGGGAACTCGCCCTACGCGTCGTTCTGCGTGTTTCTCTGCGCCTCCACACAGGCTGGACCTACACATTCACTACCGTCATGTATCTCCCGCGGAACCTGATTGCGCACCTATACCAAAACCTTGTAAAACGAACGCACGCTGCCGCACCGCCCGTCCTGCTCCTGGTGGCCCTGGAACCGGACGCGCTATGCGCATGTCGAATCCTTACCGCGCTGCTGAAGCGTGACTACATACCCCACAAGATACAGCCGATAGCCGGATATGGAGATCTGTCGAGGGCAGCGGAAGAGCTGGTCCGGCCGATGCGTACAACCGAGGGCGGAAGCGGAGGCGTTGTGGTGTGTTTGGGCGTGGGAGGCATGGTAGACATGGAAGAGATGCTGGGTCTGGACGTGGATGAGAATGGCGAGGGCGGGACTGGCGATGTCGAAGTCTGGCTCTTGGACGCGAGACGACCGTGGAATCTGACAAACGTTTTTGCCGCCCCCATCAGCCAGGACCCCGCCACGGGAGAATTGGTGCGGAGACAGGCCGGCGTGGACAAGGGAAAGATTCTGCATTCCTACCAGTCATCAAGAGGCGGAATCATAGTCTTTGACGATGGCGATATCGAGGAAGAAATGCAGACGGAGCGGGAGGCGTATGTGGGGCTCGAAGAGATGCCCGAGGTGGGGGAGGAAGACGACCTGAGCGACTCGGAGCCAGAAGACGAGGAGCCTCCGTCTGGACAGGCGCCGAAGAAGAGGAAGTCATGGGGCGAGGGGGATGATTCAGAAGACGACATGACAGACGACGAGCGGCCAGCACAAAGACGGAGGAGCAATTCGGTGTGTTTGGCTTTGATGTACAAAGGGATATATGCTAACAAATCCAGGGCGCCTCAATACCATCCTCACCGGAACCACGGCGGCGACGAGGCCTACTTGTCGCAAATCAACTAGGCGGATCCTCCGACTTTTCACGTTCAGGCTCCCGCAGCCGCTCCGCATCTCCATCAATAGCCGCTCCAAAAGAGCAGTCCGTCAAGAGTCTACGACGGCAGCTGATCAAGAAGCGGGACAAGTACGCACAGATTCTCGACAAGTACTACGAACTCGGCACATCCTACTCGGATCCCGTGTCCTCACTCGTATACAATCTGGCCTCCGAGCTCGGTCGCGAGGACAATGACCTGTTATGGAACGCCATTGTGGGGGTCAGCAGTCTGGAACTGTACGGGCGGACAGGAAGTGGTGTTGGGCTCAACCCGCTTTCAGCGCAGGGCGGCTCCGCGGGTTGGAATGGCAATCGCGGAGAGAACATACGCTCTGTGCTGCGAGACGAAGTACGGCGGTTGAATCCCATCACAGATTCTGCAGGCGTGTCCCGCGATGCGACAATGGGCGAAGTCTGGGGAGTCATTCCTACAAGCGCCCGTTCAGCAACAGACAAGGCCATCCGTCTGTCACCAGAACCTCGCTTCCTTCTCCTCCGGCACTGGTCTCTGTACGAGAGCATGCTGCATTCTCCTTACCTCTCTGCCAAACTACACATCTGGAGCGATGCGGGGCAAAAGCGACTTGCAAAACTCTTGGCAAAGATGGGCGTCTCTCTGACTGAATGCAAACAAAGATATACCCACATGGACATGGAGCTGAAGCGTGGGCTACGAGAACGCCTCCTCAAGTTCGCCCCACAATACGGCTTGGATGGCCTAGTCCCTCCAAAGTCGAGTACAGGCGATCCAAAAGACGGGTGGGGCTTTGTCCGCTGCTGGGGCTGGAAAGCCTGCCTCTCAGCCATCGATGCCGGCGTCGTCCTAGGTGCCATCCTCGAAGTTGGCGACGTCAAGAACCTCAACCAATCCGCCCTGGACAGCTCAAACTTTGTAGGCACAAACGACCACACGGAAATGCAGACGGCGACCCAAGAACAGCAAGATCTCGCCCAGGAACACATCACAAGCCGGTTCTGGACAGCATACGACGCTCTCGGGAACATTGACCTGCTGGTCGAGCACATCAGCACAGCACAGCACCTCCACCGCGCCATCCTCCGCACCGGCACCGCCCTGATCGAGAAGCGCCAAATCCGCCACCTCCGCGCCTTTCGCATGGCCGTCGTAAAAGAAGGCCCCGACGTGCAACTCTTCACACACCCCGGTGCCCTCACCAAGCTCGCCCTCTGGATCGCCGAAGCCATTGTCGAACTCAACGGCACAAAGGGCAAATCCAAAGGCAGCGAGCTCGTCATGGCCGGTCTCGACGACTCGCGCGGCCTCTACGTCGTCGTCGGTCTCGGCGGCGGAGGCGGCGGAGGCGGCGCCACGCAATCCGCCAAATCGCGCCTCCAGAAACGCGAGGCCCGCCTCGCCGCCCGGCAAGCCAAGCAAGCGCAAAAGGAAAAAGAACGAGCCCTCCGCCGCGAAGCTCGCATCGCACGCAATCTCGCAGCCGGTCTCGAAGAAGACGAAATCGCCGACAACACCGAATCCGAAGCCTCGGAATCCGACTCTTCAGATAACGACTCGTCTGACTCGGATGATGATGACGATGATGACGATGACACGAGAAAAGGAGGCAAGAATCGCTTTGGCAATGCGTTCCAGGAGGTTGTGCGGGAAACGGGCGCCAGAGTCCGCATGGACAGCTTCGAGGCGTGTGTGATTGAGATTAAAAAGGAGGATTTGAGCGGCTTTTTGGAGAAGCTCAGTCAGAAGGCGGTGGTGGGGTAAGTCAAGTAAGTGTGGGTAGGGCAGGACAGGGGGAGTGCACGTTACGTTTCAACGGTGTGGCTTCTTTTATTTTATTTTATTTTCTTTCTTCTTCATTGTTCCTTTTGTCCTTTTGGTAAGGGGTATAGGCTGTCACATTAGTTGGCTGGTTGGTTACGGCACAGCGTGATTGGTATCTGGGTATGCCTGGGGTCGGTACGTTGATACCCGTTGGTCTCTTCTTTCTATTCCCCCCTTTTCTGATCGTCACGGCAAGGTTTGATGCGACAAGCGAATGAATGTATAGGCGAGTTTGATTATATTAGCATAGCACAGCATAGCGTAGTAAAGCCAAACCCCAATCATGTTCAAATCGAATCCGTGCTATTCAAAGCCATTCCCATCTAAAACGGAGAATACGAAAAGTGGTATCTTCTGTATGAATGCGCGACAAAACAACGACATGTATCCCTCCCTAAGCCTTTCCTACCACCCTACTTTGTGTGCGATCAACCTTTCTGACCCATGGTCAGCCCTTCGCCATCCTCGCCATCGTCAAAGCTTCCCTCTCCGCTGCTGCGCCTCTTTCTCGTCCTGACACCATCTGTCAACCTCCTCTTGACCTCGTCCATGTTTCCGTCAATAGTGCTAAAAGGCTTGAGCTGGAAGCCGCTGAGGTTCATGCTGCTATTGCTCCTGCTATGGCTCTTCTTGGGCGTCTGCGGCCTGCTAGAGAAGAAGTCCTGGTTGGCAAGGTCGTGGAACGATTCGTTGCGCGGTATCTCGTTCATGGAGCCCGGCGAAGTTGGGTACTCGTATGTATCCATATCTTGACCAGCCTCGACTCGAGGGACACCATCCGACTTGGTCTGTGGCGTTTGAGGACGCTCTTTCTTGTCTCTGATAAAGGGGTCTTCAACGATACGCTTAGAGTGGAAGTCCTCGTACATCTCGGGGCCAAGCTCGTTGATGATGTCGTTGACGCGTTTGGCAAGGTTCTCGCGGCGTTCCTGGAGTTTGACGAGTTCGGTGTTCGAGAAGGGGCTCATCATCTTCCAGAGAGGTCCAAGAGACTTGAGAATGTCCATGGCGACCTCACCGAAGCGGAGAGCGCCATAAGTGATTGTGACGTATACAATGAGTTGTGGAAGAATGAGCCACCGCTTGTGGATACCAGCGGGAAGATATCCGTTGCAGTTGTTGTATGAGTACCAGTAAAGCCCGAGACATACATACCAGGCATAAGCTGCCGGCGCGGCAGCCATGGCAACAAGAAGTTTCCACGTCGCCATAACGTCCCGAGCCTGGATCTTCACGTTGGATGCGGCAAGAGCCTCCTTGGCTTTTCGGAGAGAGACGATCTTGGTAAGAATGAAAACAAAGCTGAAAAGAAGGGTTCCAGGAAGGGCGAGCAGTCCCAGAAAGCAGAGTTTTCCAAGGCGGTAGAAGAAGAGACCGGCAGCTGTGATGGGGTGCATCTTGGCGTATTGCACTTGGTGATCTCGCAGGCCAAGCGCTTTGAGTTTACTGTTGTAGGTGGTAACCTCTTGCTTGAGCTGGATGATGCGGGGATCTTCCTTGTAGCGTTCGTACCCTTGCACAAGGCGGCGATTTAACTCGACAATCCTGGGCAACGGGAGTTTGGTACCCTTGGAGTTGTAAAGGCGACGCACAGCTTGGATGACCTAGCGGTGTTAGCGGGGAACGTAGTATCCAGAACATGCACATACCATGAGTGTATCGTAGTCCGGTGTCGTGACGGTGACGCCAATGAGACCTTGGCGAACGGTTTCCAGCATCTCGCCAATCGCCTCTCGCCGTCCGGGGCCATCAAACTTCTTGGCCAGCGCTGGGGGAACGAGGATTGGTGTTCCGAATTCAATAACGGCCCTTGAGCGGAACTTGTGCGCGTGAAAGTAGTTCATGCCGACAGGGATAATGTTCAGGTTGCAGTCAGGCTTCGTTGCAACCGTGCCAAGCGCCATGATAGCGACACCAGCTGAGGACTGTTAGATACGGCAAGATTATGGATAGAGTTGCTTACCCTTGAGAGGCAGAAGGTCGGTACGGTCGTGGCTGCCACCTTCGGGGAAGATACCAATGCTGCCGCCGTGGTGCAGAACCGCGTGCACAGCATCGTAAACCTCTGTTTGGTCGAGTTTGGGCGCAACCTGAAACGGGGTTCCCTCGTAGCCATCGGCAAGGCCCTTCTTTGCCTCAGCGCCGTCGATGAATGTGCCGTCCTTGGTCATGTCGTTGCGTCCTGTCAACTGCTGCATGGCGACGCCTCCCTTAAAGCCGCGCTTGAGCCGGATCTCTTCTGGGCCCTTGATTTCGAGAATCTCAGCGGTGGCCGCCTTGTTGTCCACCTTTGGAAGCACAATGGAGCCGCCAATCTGGAACAAGCCATCTTCAAAGTTGGTATCTATGCCTCGAAGGAGTGTCGGGTCGTTGATGGGGTCTGGGAGATAGACTTTGCCTTTGGCTGGCTTGGTCATGTCCATGGCTCTTCCTACAGGTACAACACCCGTCAAACCTGCCATTGCGCCTACAAACTTCCGCTTCATGGATTTTTCGGCAATCAGAAACTGGATGCGGCGATCTGCTTCCTTTTTGACGACACGCATCAACATAAGAGGGTCGACGAACTGCGTGCATCAGTTTCCGCTTTGCACCAATATGGTGTGGCAGCCTACCTGGTTCGCATGCGGGGCGCAGACAAAGATGACGGGGCCTTCCTTTGGCACCTTCCAGCTACTCCTAGGATGCACTTCACGGAAGAACAGCTCGACCAGGATAGAGAATGTCCACAGAAACGCATCGTAGACATATTTGTTCATGACGGCAAGCTTTTTGCCCCTGGCATCTCTTTTCTGGGTCGCCATGACGGCCGACTAGACGGCGACGATGTAGCCCAAGAGGAAGAGAGTGAGGCCTCCTATGGCTGCTGATGTGTTGTAGTAGTAATAATAATACGACGACTCGGGGTGGGTAGCGATTGAGGGGCGACGGCAGTAGGCGGAGCGCTGTGACTGGGGCGCGGGGTCGCTGACGGTGCAGGTGAGCTGGAAGCTATGGCCTTTGCATGGTTTAGCATGGGAATCCAGACTTGGGCGTGGTGTTGCGGAGGTCTTTTTTTTGACTGTGTACACACCTTCTAGCAGTTTCTCTCAGGATCGGTTGTCGCGTGCGAGAGAACATCAGGCCACGGCGGAGCGCTGAGCTGGAGCGGATCCTGTGATAGCCGACAGCCGGGCGACAAGAGATATGGGGCGCGGCCGAAGAATACGAGTGCTCAACAATGGCGTAGGCGGGGACGCTATTGTCGTTGTTGAGGCCGGAGATATGGAGAGATGCAGACGGGCCGGGGTCGGGGTATGGCTCCCACTCCGGACTCGCACTCACTATGTCATTGCAGGAGCGCAGTGGCGGTCCTTCTTGGTGGGGTAGTGGCGCCGCGACCACGGCATGCGCTACGCTACGCAACTGCTTTGGCCTAGACTTCCGCGGCACTGGCGACATGACCACCACCACCAAGACATGATCCGTCACGGCACCACGGCAGGCGGGACGCGCAAATGACCCAGTATATCTATGCATTGTATCTGAGGCTTCTACGCCGACACGAGAGGCCTGACTACATGGCGCTCTGCGAATCCAAAAGGGGTTGAATTTATATATACACACTACGAAGAGAAGACACTAAGGGGATGAAGGGCTATGGCTATGTGTGCGTCTAGGCAAGGGCAAAGACGGCTGCGGCCACAAACGCCGCCACGGAAGTGATGCTGGCTGCGTTGATGGAGCCAGCTCCAGTGAACTGTGGCAGTGTCGGCGAGGTGGCGGTGCCGTTGACGGGCGGCAGTCCCAGGCTGGGCGTCGAGATGAGCGAGGTTGCTGCCGCTGGTACTGTGGGCACGGGTGGAACGGTGACGGTGACAGTCACGCTGGGTGTACAGCTAGAGGTGGGAGACGGCTTGGTGACAGTGACCGTCTTGGTGACATTGCCGATACAAGAGTAGTTGGCAGAGGAAGGCTTGCTTTGGTTGAACGGGAGCCCAGCCTGGTTGGTGGAAGCGGGAGGCGAGCTTGCTGCTGGTGCGCTCGCTGCTGGTGCGCTTGACACCACTGAGCTTGACACTGTTGCGCTTGACGCCGGCATACTTGGAGTCTTGCTGGGCGACGAGACGGCCGGGGGAGTAGCAGGAGCCTGGGCGTTTTGCTGCTTCTCAGATGTCAAGGCTTCGGGGACTTTGTCGGCCGGAACCTCCGGGGACGGGGTCTCGCTCGACGGAATCTTGCTAGGCGAAGAAGCCGGAGCGCTCGCCGCCGCGCTCGACGCTGCTGGTGTCGAAGTCGGGGCTGGCGCTGCACTCGGAGTTGGGCTCGGAGTTTGACTCGGAGTCGGGCTCTGGCTGGACTTGGGGGTCGGGCTGTTTGAGGGCTTGGGGACGTTTGATGCGCTGTTCTTGGCAGGGAGCATGTTCTTCTTGATCATCAGAAGTGCCTGGGTAACCTCGAGCGCCGACAGCTGCTGGCCAACACCAGAAGTGCCATCCCAAGCCCCAGTGTACCACTTGCTACCGCACGTGGTTCCGTCTGTGCCACCAGAGCACGACTTTGCGGCGCCAACCGCCGAGGCTGTGAGGCGCTGCACAATCGTGTCCTTTGTAAAAGGGGCCAGCATTGCAGTCTTGGCCATGAAGCGCGCGAGGTATGCCTTGAAAGACTGCTGATCAAGGTTGCAGTGCCTTCCAGACTCGCCAGTTTCACAGGCCCATTCGTACATGATATCAGTGGCGTTTCCAAAAGGCTTAAAGAAGAGCAGGTCGGCGTGGTTCAGGAAGCCAGAGATGCGATCCTTCCAGAGGTTGTTGCCGTTGGTGTAGTCGTACATGAACGCAGATCCGTGAAGGAACATGGCATTGTTGTACGACCATTGCGTCTCGTCAGCCACCTTTGAGCAGTTGGTCTTGTCGTCAGTTCCGTCAAAAACCTCGAATCCATCGCTGATGATTCCAATCTCCTTCGTCCAGTCGTAAATCTTGACGGCCCAATCAGCGTATTTTTGTTCGCCCGTGTAGCGAGCGAGGCGCGCACCGAGGGCAAAAGCGCAGCCATTGGAGATGGCGTTCTTGTAATTGTATCCGTACGCGTTCTCGGGATAAATCTGCCACTTGAGGCCTCCGCCACAAGTGGTCGTGTCCCAGCGACCAACAATGTTCTCGAATGCATTGGTGACAACTTGGAGATAGTCTGCAGGCGCCTGTGAAGGGTCCGGGAAACGGTATTCAAGTGCGCTCATAATCGCGAGCGCCCAAAACGCCTGATCGTCGTTACCCTGGAGTCTGCAGTCAGCTTCGGCTCTTAGATGCATCCGACATTTCCCGCACCGTCTGGTCCTTGCGATAGGACAAAATGAAGTCGTTATCCGGCCCATAATTGGCAGTCAAGGCTTGCTGGAGCACGCTGACGTACGAATCGTCACCGCTGAACTGGCTGTATTCGATCATGCCTCCCCACGCAGCACCGCCCTCCCACCAGTAGTAGGGTCGTGGCCAGATGCCGATATCTTCCTTTGGAACGTTTGGACCGCTGCCCTTGTAGAACGACATCAAGCCGCGCGCATATTGCCGGGTGGCGCTAAGGAGTGACGCTGGCAAAGTTAGCCTAGGGGGTTCGGAGAGACATGCGGGACAGTCAGCCTCCCACCTTCATCCTGCGGGTCAAATTCAATGGCGGTCGCGGTGCTTGCCGCGAAAGCAGTCAGGAGCACAGCTCCAGTGGTAGAAAAGCACTTCATGTTTGGTCAAAAACGAATGTAAAGGAGTGTGTAGAAGAGAAACGAGTGTAGAAGAGAACGAGTGTGGAAAGGGAAGAGCGAACGTAAACAGAACGCGAAGTGTAATAAGACGCGAGCACGTCGGTGAATGAGGGGACAAGGGGGGCATGGTGAAGGCATTACATATTCATTTACCGGTACGGCCTGAGTCAGGCCTACCAGCCTTTGCTGGCTCATTCAATGCTGGGTAGGAGCGCGCGGGTGCAGGCCAGGGTTGAGCACGTGGGCGTTTCGAAACTCAGGAACAGGCCGCGCCTCAGCCAATCGTCGGCTTGGCCGCTTGTTTCAGGTCCAGGGCCACTCTGTTTTTGCCTCCACTCATCTCATCGGCGCCTCTTCCATCACGGCTTGAAACACTTAATCCTACTTGCTGCCCGTTGCGCCCACCGCTTTTGTTTAATATCCTATTACCGCAACTTCGAGTAGTGGCAGTAGTCGTACTCGTAGTCGCAGTCGTCGTCGTCGCCTGGCTGCTCATTCTATGCAGTACCCCACGCAACTCATGCGAGGGCCATTGCCATAGTCTTCCTATTCCAGACGTGCGCATAATGCGTGCATACGCAGCACGTGTGGCGGAGCTGCTATAGGGCCGAGGTTGTGAAGATCGTCACAAGCAAAAAAAAGCAACCGACCAGGTTGGATCAACTGGCAGAGAACGCTCGAGATTACCATCCCAAGATCCATCCTTGATTACACGCGGCTTGGCCAGACTCTCCCGAGCGTCTAGTCCAATGTCTATCCAGAACGCCTGCGCAAATGCGAACACCTCATTAGCCAGCCCCTCAGTTCACACCCGCCAATCTCTTTTCCTTCTTGGCCTTCTCCGACTCTTGTATCTCAGCCAGCTCCTCCTTTGTCATATTGTAGGATCCAGTTACTTGGTTGAACGGGTTGTCGGGGTGCTTCTCAAACTCCTTTCTGATCAGGTCAATCTTCTGCTGTCGCCGGAGACCCTTGTCATCCTTCATGTCGCCAAGTCTTTGCTCTTCGTAAGCTGCGTATGCCGCCTTGAATCGCCTCTCAGGATGGCGGTCCACCTTGTCTTGCCTGTTGCCTGTGATGTCCAGAGCGTCCAGCGCATTGTCGATACCTGAAGCGTTGAGCGCGGCGGGCTTTCCGTCGAGGGAGCCCAGGGCTGAATCGATGCCGCGAGTCTTCTTCTCGGCCTTTGGTGCTTTTCCCTTGGGCTTCGACGGCATAGAGGCTTCTTCTTCGCGCAGCAACGCCTCCTTCTCCGCCTTCTTGCGTGCTGCCTCGGCCGCCTTTTCCGCAGCGGCCTCACTGCCATCTGTCAGTCTTCTGCTTGCACAATGATGCAGCGCCACCTACGCCTTCGCATTGGACTTGGCACCCTTCTTCCATTCCTCCGCCTCTTCTTTCTCAGCCTGCTGGTTCTTTGCTGTCTGTTTTGACGCGGCAGCCTCTGCCTTGCGGGCCTGTCCTTGCGCCTTCTTTGAATTCTCGCCGGCGCCGCCGGCGCCACCCTTCTTTGCCATGTTGATGTGCTGCTAGTGGTGTGATAGTGGAATATGAGAGGATAGTGTGTGTTGGATGATAGGACTCGGCGTATGATGTGTGTTTGCAACGTGACTCAAAGTTTGGAAGGTAGCAGCGGCCTGCAACCATCTCTGCGGGGCAGTGGCGTCATCAGGCACCAACACGCGTAAATGACTAAGCTGGGGAAAGCTCTTTCACTCTCGAGACACTGCACATGCACATTTACACCAGCACATCTGATCTTCGTTTCAGCGAGAACTCTTCTAACCGTCGCGTGGTTTCGAAGGCATCGAATCCCGCACCACCAACATGTCATACGACTCCCTCCTGCTTCTCTCTCCTCAAATGCTCTCTTCTTGTCCACATCGCATTCTCTGGCATGAGCTGCTTCAAGCCTAGCCAGGGAGAATTGACGGGACTAGGGCCCGTATAGATGAAGACGTCATATAGAAACCCCCCAAATGCGCAACCAAGAAACGGCGCTATCATTGGAATCTTATCCGTCGTTAGCAAGATCACGCTAGTGGTTTTGAGGCAGTACTCACCCAAAAATAGTATCCACCTGCTGACCAGACCTCATGGCTGTATCCGACAGCGTAAGACATCAGTCTCGGACTAAAGTCACGAGCAATGTTAGTCGCATAGCCAGTTTCCCAACCGAAGCAAGAACCCAGACCGAAGATGAGGAAGAACAAACAGAGCGGGAACCACTTGTCGCTCTGCGTATCCTGTCAGCAGCTCTTAGTTCCATACACTCAATGCACTTACCTTGGGAACACCATTATTGCTCGGATCCTTCAGTGCAAACACTACGAACATAAGCAACGTGCTTGCTATGAACTCGGAGAAAAACTGGCTCGTCTTGGTCAAGAAGGGCTGTGGATAAGTGCAGAAGATAGCTGCAGTAGCTTTTTCAGCAGGAGGCACCGTTCGCATCTTGCCACCTTCGAACCAGTCGATGGCACTGATGTAATTCGCGTACACGATACCAGATCCGACGAATCCTCCGAGCATCTGCGCAGCAAAATACACGGGAAGCCGCCGCCATGGCAACTGCCGGTAGATGCAGTTGGTAAATGTGATCGCAGGGTTCAGATATGCGCCAAAATCGCCCGCCACATACAGTCCTAGCATCACGCCTAATCCCCAGCTGCTCTATGTCAGCAATGTACACCAAGATTCATGGCATGGTGTTTCAACTTGCCCCCAATTTATCGATTGATACTGGCCGAAGCCATTGCCCCCTGGAGCGGCGGACTGTCCTGCTGAGAGCAATACCTGCGCAACTGAGCCATTACCAAACATGACCATAACAGCAGTGCCCCAGAACTCTGCAAACGGCTCTCTCATCACGGTTCTTATTCGCGACCACACCAGGCCTGATTGTGGAGCCTCTTCATGTCCTTCGTCAATTGGCGCTTGGGGGTGCAAACCAAGCACTGATCGTTTTCGCTGGGCGCTCGACGACGTCCTTTGGGTCGAGAGTTTCGAGTCTGTTGAACCTGTAGACTGTTGAGTACGTGATTGAGTCAATGGTATGGCGCCTGGAGATAAGCACTCAAAATCAGTATTTGTCCTGTTCACCCGTAAATGAGGACGACTCACTGTTTCCGGAAGTGATACTATCCAAGTGGCTACTTGAATGATTGTCTGCCCAATCATGAGTCATTGGAGGCCCTGGGACCATAGGTCCTTGGGCGGTCATATTGAACAAGCGTGCAGGACAAGACCAGGTGCAGGCCCAAATGCTCTTTTTTGGTAGTTGCAGAACAAAGAGTGGAGAGTTAAAGGGTTAATGCATAGCCAGAACGTTCCTGGAGCGCATCCGCAGGCATCTCAGGAGGTCAATACTGCTTAAGTATTGCCAACCTATCCCCTCAGCTCGGTATCTAGACGACGTCATCGCCTATGCTGATTCCTGGACGACAAAGCGATTGGATAGAGCATCTTACGTCTCCTCGCAAAACCGTCAGATTTGCCTAGCCGGGAGAGAATGCCGCATGCGCCATCAGCCTTGGGTGTGACTATTGCACACCAAAAATGACGTCTGCAGTTCCCGCGGGCAGTATCATCCCCGCATCCATCCAGGATTATGACATCTTACTACTTGGCTTTAAACACCAACATGAATAGTTCATGAGCCATTGTGAGTAACTCATGTGATATATGAGGTACACTGGAGAAACACCCCCTATTTGATATCCGATCGTTTCCTCCGCTAGAATGTGGAGCGTTTTTGTGGATTTCCTGGGGTACATCAGCAATGGCGTTAACCCGTCTAGCGCCAACTTGGCAACCATGGGCTGGGCACACTTCTTTCCCTCTACGTCCCTTACTTCTACCCAGCACATACATCCGCCGTATGTCAAATTTCAGTACGCACATCACTCATTCTCCGCAACAATGTCTATTGCGACATGGTGCCCGAAGACCCCAGAGAGGATAACTCAACATATCGGCGCTAGAATACGAGACATTAGCCGCCCTGACAAACCAGGATAGGGCCCTCCACAGCGCCTCGACCGACGTATTCTCCAATCCCAGTGTACAGAGCATCAGTCTATGCCGTGAAACACCAATCGATATGTGCAATTACAAACTGGGTGGGAGCTGTTCTCAGCTTCCTGCAGGGTCGTGAATCAAGCAGAAAATATTCCGCAGTCTGCCAGGCAAAGATACATCCCATTCAGGTCAAAGCAACCATTTTATGGCGTTCAAAAGGCAGTACTTAGCGCAATTTCTTCTGCATCCGGAGTTTCGCTCTTGTGTGCTGGCCAATCTTTACTCACAATTGCGAGACAAGGCTGCACGCATATTACCCCTCGCTTCCTCCCCTGTGTCTGATCGATCCACAAGGCTGTATAGTGCTATCTCGAAGGATTCCATGCACCATATCATGCAGCTGCCTGATTGTGGCACAGCATACACGGTTTCTATTTGAAGCTGGACTTTTATCTAGTTCTACATCATACTTTTTTTGCAATTTTATTTCCCCCTCACTCGGTAGCTCTCGACCATCGTATCGGCCGGATTGAGATATTGATCACATCCACCTGAAGATTAACAAGCGGGATAAACTCGGCCATTACTCTTTTATTCAATATTTACCCTACGCTATACCAAGTTGTGGTTTGCAGGGTCGTAACACAATGGTGCAGTGCGAATCTTGTGTCGGTCATAAAAGCTATGGAAGAAGCGTCTGGAGATGGCGAGGAGTTTGTGTGGGAGTATGGCAAAGTCGAACGCAACTACACGTGTGCTACGTGTCAGAAACTAGTCAAACATTTCAACCTTGAAGCACCACACGTTGCTTTGCATGAGAAGCTTGGCTATGTGAGGCGCTACGATGATTATTGGACGCTACGCCTTCGAGACCGCAAGAATGGATACTCCCGGACGAAACCTTGCATCTCCATCGAGATAATAGCGGATTCTGGTTGCCCAAACGCATTGGGATTTTCTCTCCTTGGATGTGAGATTAACGTGTTGGGTATCAAGAGGTGGATTGATCAATGTGATCAGCAGGATGCTGGACGATGCCACACCATTGCAGATCCAGTAGGGAGAATTCCTGATGCCACTGGACTGTATTTCATCGATGTTGAGAAATACTGTTTGGTGGCCCAACCTCAATTCGGGCACTCATTTCGGTACGCTGCCCTAAGTTATGTCTGGGGTAAAAGTACTGACAATACTTTCCAGACATTGATTGAGAATTTTGATTCGTTAAGCGAGACGAATGCGTTCAAACTACCGGAGAACTATGGTCGCCTTCCCAACACGATCAAAGACAGCATCTTCCTCACCCGTGCTCTCGGTATACAGTACCTATGGGTTGATCGGTTCTGTATAGTGCAGGATGATGAGACTGCAAAGCCGTATCAACTTGCTGCCATGGCTTCCATATACTCCAACTCGTACGTCACTATTGCGGCAACAGAGGGGCCGCACAGCAACTACGGGCTCTGCGGGATAGAGAAATCACGCCCAAGAAAACCACCGTTCGAAATTTTGGATTTCAGTCCCAGTCGTCGAATGTTTGCAGCTTCACCAACAAGAAGCACCCGCGATATCTATCACTCCCGGGGATGGACGTTCCAAGAATGGACTTTCTCACGCCGTATGATAGTGTTCCATGATCAGACAGTCACATGGGTGTGCCAGAAGTATATGCAGCAAGAAAACGGGCATACCCCGTTCAGAGTCCCCGCAAGAACCCCCTTGACCTTGTGGACAAAGAGACCCAACCCCGGATCATATTGTGCTGAAGTAGAACAGTACAGCAGCAGAAATCTATCTGACCCAGCAGATGTCCTAGCGGCGTTCGACGCCTTCATTACGGTACAAGGCCGTGCCATGAAGGGCGGGATGTTATATGGCCTGCCAGAACTCTACTTCAACAACATGCTTTGCTGGCACCATGATTTTGGCTCAGTTCAAAACAGACGAAGAGACCGCGAGGGCAACATCCTGAAGCAGTTTCCCTCCTGGTCATGGGCCGGCTGGATCGGGCCAACCGATATGACACTCGCTAGTGAAGCATGTCATATTGTAAAGTCAGTCTCAGGCCTCGTTTACCCTTACATTGTGGAGTTTTACAAGCTCCCCAGCAGTTCGATTGATGGAAAACGAGAGCAGATCAGGAATATGAACTATTATGAAGTTCGTGGTCAGACATGTATTGCCCAAAGCGATGAGGAATTGCCGGAAGACGAGGGCACATTATGCAAGTACCCTGTGGTGGAAGACGATGAAATCATCAATCACGCACCCGAACAGCTTTACACAACGGTTATCGAGTTTCGCAGTCGTAGACTGTTCGCCGATATAGCAAAACAAGACTGCCGTGAGTTTAGCAACGACATGGCTCTTATACTAGGATCGGAAGGGCAGATGATCGGCGCATTGGACCTCGGCGTATCATTCCATTCACTCGACCTACCTATAAAGAACATCGAACTCGTTTGCATCAGCGTGAGCGGCGCAGTTTGCGCGAAACATGCGCACATACGGAGTCCTGGTCGACAATACATCGATGGTGATGGCTGCCATAAAGAATGCTTTGTGGATGAAGATCACTACTACAGGAATATCTACGAGCCCGCATCAAACTGGCAATTCAGATGTTACGATGTCCTTTGGATTGAAAGGGAAGATGGCATCGCGTATCGAAGAGCAATAGGGCAGATCTGGAAAGAAGACTGGGAGGCTGCAGACACGGAGGAAGTGGACATCCGACTTGGGTAGCTCGAAGATATGAGTCAAGTCTCCTGGTATCTGGGTCCTCCCTTGCTGTCGCAAACAACTCATCTTCGGAAAAACTTGTTCACTCTCACAATCTTGTCCTTCACGAGGTTCTTTTTTCAATGATCTCATTCATCACTTCATCGCAACTGACTTCCTGCAATACCGAGAGACGACTACAAGCAATTCATTGGCAGAAGAACTAATTCCTATGTCCATAGCTGGGAAATCAAACATGGATAAAAGGGGAATATCATGCATGAAGAGCTGAAGAGATGTGAGCTCTCAAAGACACACATGGTAGACCGAGCTATCAGTATGATGAGAAGACACTGGGCTGCTATCAAACGATGGCTAAAAGCAAAGCCAGGGCCCTTTACAGTTCCGGTCGTTATCGCAGGTGTTGTAGCGTCAATACTTGGTCACCAGTCTTCCACGACTAAGCGGCTTTCCTCCTTCTTTCTCCGCCAGCTTTCCATCCATTCCTTGACCATGTCGCTGAAATACGCCTTGCAGGCTTCCTCGTCTTTAGGGAGCTCATAGATGACGGGTGGGAGGGAGCCTTGTTCGGCTCTCGCTGCATTGATGCGTTCTTCTACTACGAGTTGCTCCCTTGCTATCTTCGCCACGAGCCCTTTCCAGAAACTGGTACCAATGATGTATTCGAAACGCAAGCAAATTGGTGAATCCTCCTTGATGACGTTGAACCATGGCGTTTTCTCCAAAGTATTTTCGGCAATCGCGTTTTGCCATTGTATTGCGAGGATGGATGCAATGCGACTTGTCAGCGCGTCCTCTTCCTCAACCGCTGTTGCAACCTTTTTCCGGAGGCGGATCTGCGTCATGGCTCCTTCGTACAGGCCATATGCATGATAGTTTTGGCGTACGACAAGTTCTCGCTCGTGCCAGAACTTTGCGAAGTCGTCTGTCAGCTCGGCGGTCACCTGCTCTTCTGTTTCTTGTTTGGCACGTTCGACTTCTTCCCTCATTTCTTCTCGCAGCTTCACATCGAGTTTTACGCGTTCTTCTTGCGCAGATCGAATACCTTCTTCCTTGCCCCGTTGGTACTCCGCATCGATATTCTGCCTTGCAATCTTGTTTGCATCCTTGGCCCCAAAATCGTAGCCTCGGAGGTACTGCTCAACAGCCTCGATCTTCTTGCCAGCAGCCTCGCCGATGCTGTAGCCCTGATTGTAGTATTCACTTTTGAGGGCTTCCGAGGTGGTTTTCTCTTTCTCGGTGACTGAAGCGCTGAGCTGGGCTTCCAATGCACGCTTGTCAGCGCTGACCAGGAGCAGTTCTTGGTTCATCTTCGTGCGGTGCTCTGACAGTTCCTGTAGCCAATCTTCTTTCTCCTCAGACATGACGTCGAATCGGAGTAATCTGATGCGCTCGTCGTTCTCCAGGACATTCTCACGCAGCCTCTCCAAGTCCGCCTTTGATGTAGCCGCGGCTTTCCTGACGAGTCCAATGAATTCAGTTAGGTTCGTGCGCTCCTTGCTCATGATAGCCTCTTCGTCCTTGAGTGCCTTTTCACGCGCGTGAACCTTCTGCTCTCGCTTGAACAGCCCATACTCCTTTTCTGCCTGGCTCAGAACCATTGGACGAGCGACTTCCTCCACGATGTACTTAATGAAAGCCTGCAATCGTCGACACTTCTGCTGCGCCATCTTGTGGCCCCAATCTGCCTGGATCCGTGCACTTTCTTGCTCTAGGAGGTCCGCCCGACAGCTTTGGAGCTGTTCAGAGAGGGTTTGGAGATGACCGCGCAGATACTCCGCGTCGTCCATCTTTGAAACGTCGAGTTTGGCATAGGCATCTGCTGGATATGCTGTGAATTTGTTTGGGTCGTTATGGGGCGGAAGCGGATCTTCTTCTTCGTCGACCATGTCCCAGCACTCTGTGATGATATCTTCGCCTTCCTTGAGTCTTTTCCAGAGTACGGCTGGAGACTTACGCCGGTTTGTTTCTCCTGTACCATGTTCATCGTCTGTATCCAAGTTAAGCGTACCAAAGCCCGCCATTTTCCTTGTTCCTGCGCACGCGATTCCGCTTCTATGTTGCTCTGATCGTGGTCGTTGCCGCACACGCTGATCCCATGCAGTCTGTCGCTGTCAATCTGTTAGTTTCACCTATTGTGTCGAAAGTGGTCGGAAAAAACTTACTTCTCTGCGGGAGGAATTTTGATAGGGATTGGATATTAGGCAGCTATTGTGGGAGCGCAGAGATATATGGTAAAAACTAGCGGCTTGGCACAAACGGAGTGCGCTGCTGTGGTGAGGTGAAAGGAGTCACCCAGCACAATCTACTATTGGACACAGCGTGCGCTCAGACGAGGAGGGTGAGATACCTGATATGACCAGAACTTCAAACAATACGCCATTTATATCGACTTAAGAAATTCTTGTGATCATAATGCTGTGTTACATACTGTTTTTTGATATTTAAATATCCTAGCAAGTTTCTAAACGCTCCATTTCGCAACCGTTGAAAATTGCAATGTTACAATTTTCCTTTGCGCTCACCTTGTGGCATATATATGAACTTTAATTTTCTGCTTAATTATACGTAATACCTACGTGTAGTTGTGTATGAAGTCTGATAGCGTGGGTAAGGGCGAAGTAAACGAATAAATTGCAATTCACCTATTATACAATGTATAACAACTGGATTATAGCTCAGTAGTACTAGAGACTATGAAACAACAGATAACTGCTTATAGAAGACTCTCAACCCCTATAGAATAAGACACAAGTCTTGAAAGAGTAGATACTTCGATATCTAAGACAACAACTGGAATCCGAATAACGCAGACGTAACATAGCTCTAGGGACTTGAAGTAATAGATACTTATATCCTATTGATAAAATAGTAGAATACTACTTCAGATACCCTTTCATGGAAAGAACTGCTTCCAGCTAGCAGAATTCTTTTTATAGCTATTTTTCGCATTTACAGGTTATCATACCAACACAGCACTAGATAATCAAACTCTAGGCTCTTCTCTCGCTTGATCCACTCACTCTTAACGTCTCTCTATGACTAGATAGGTACCCTTACAATAATACTTATTGTTTCCTTTTTAGAGATTTTTTGTAGTTGAAAGTTACTAACCGCAATTTCCCCTTTTTGTTTTTCAAGTTTTCATGTACCACTATTATACGTCATTCTTTTCTTAGCCTAATCCTTAGCTGTATCGTTCAATCTATGCGCATTGCGATCCATAGCTTATCGCCTGGTTGTATACAGTCCTCCTTGCTTAGATATCGCGCTTCATATCTAGAAAGAAGACCTGATAGTAAGATTCCTATATTTGTCAGCCTCATAAGATAGGTAGTAATATACAACGTTGCTACGAACCCTCTTTACCTACTAATAACCTCGGTGGTATTGGTTAGGTAGGTAGAAGAGTTCTACCCTCGAAACAATGACTCTCACGATCTTGTTCAAAGACATGCTGAAAGCTCATATTATTCAGCTACACTTACTAAACAGGATGCCACTTTAGACTCTATTCTACCCCTACAAGTTATAGTATGCTATATAAGGATACTATCAACCTCTAATATCCTTCAAATACACTGGCACTTGACTTCAAAGTAGACCGAGATCTACATATCATTATACATCTGGTTGTGTCTTTATTAATCAAATTCTGCAATGCTCTATTATGGAATATACATGGGAGGTCATTAAAGTTAGTAATTCAAGTCCTACATTGCTATTCTGAATCGATTAGAAGGCGGACATAGCAAGCAAGCAGCATAGTTAATTTAACAGGATATTTAGCTTCCTACAAACCTATGCTGCATACTATACATAATTCAGCACCTAACGGCTATATTTCCACTACGGGATGTTACGTATCGTGATAGAGCAACTAGATATTGTATCTAGTGACTGAAAGGTGCTTGGACAGTACTAGTCCAATGGTGTAAATTGGAGAATAGTAGAGAAATAGACAAGAACAATAATGTATCAATATATCGAGCTAGCCCGTACCGAATACCCATCAGACACTGGATTTATATATCAAGACTATAGGCAGAACGCCGATCAGATGGGAGATATATAAGCCAGTGTAGCCACCGGGCAGTCGAGCAGATAGAGGTGAATAACACTCCACGGCAGTATACTTATTTTACGCTAACTACTGAATCATGGTGAATTTGAGAACAAATACCCCAACGACTTCTATTCCACTGCTGAATATAAGCTCGTTACCCCTGTATTCTAGCTTCCAGGAAATGTGATATTTAATACCCACTTATGCCAGTAATTGCCATCAACGTCTTCTTATTAGTTCGTAGTACTCCTATTCCACCCTCTACATCTTCTCCGTAGCGACAATATTACTAATCACAGAGAACATCATGAATCTACTTACCATCACTATATCTTGGTAAATTTATATCTCAGTTCATTTGTAGCTTGTTGTAATTCTACCTTGTTTATTTGTTCCATCTGTTTGTGAAGCTGGCAGGTGATAGGAGCTTGTTGAAATTTGTCGGTCTGTTTTATATGTAGTAACGGAGTTCAATTCGAGTAAAAAGATAGAATCCCAAATCGATCTTGTTTAGAGTAAGCTGATATGCAATCATCATGGTAGAAACACTATAAAAAAGTAGAGAATCAGTCCTCTTCGCAACGTCAAGTAAATCATCGTCAGCTCACGATACACCGACATAATGAATACAGTATCAAGACAAATGCCAAAGAGGTATCATTTAACGCATGCTCAAGCCCAGCAAGGCGAACACCAAAGTCTAGTATACATCGCTTCTTCGTAGCCGTTAGTCATAGGCCCAATTCTGTCTACCATCACTTGTCCCTGTCTACCCTACTTCTCTGTAGGCGCCTCGACAGGCCTCTCCCTCCCATCCGCCTCTACAGGCCCCTGCGCCCACGTCTTGTGCGCACCATGATACGTGCTCGTCGTGGCCGTGGCCGTGCGCCCATGGTCGCGATACTCTCCTGAAAACTGATCGAGCTCTGACGAATTCAACTGCGTCTGCACGCCTCTGACGCCGGTGCCTCTACTCCCGCGCCAGACCAGCACGCCGCCTAATATAAGACCAGCAGCAAAGGCGCATCCGCCGATTACACCGCCGATTATTGCAGCTAGGCTCGGGCCCGATCCTCTGGAATCAGGTTTGGCGGTGGGTGTGGCTACGGCGTCCGGGGTTGCTGGCGCCATCGGGCCAACGGTTTCTTGTACGGCACGACTGGACAGAGACATGCCGGGGGTGTGGTATGCGGTGCGGGTGAATGCTGTTTCAGCACAGCCATACTGCGTCAGTGTGATGCGGTCGTAGACAAAATGCCACTCGTAGCAGGCGGGCGCAGTGCTGGCTGTGCATTTTGCAATGGCGGCGTCGGACGAGCATGCCGTGTCGGTGCAGGAGGCAGAGAGGGCAGTTGAAGGGATGCACAGTGTGGCGAGGGTGCAGGAAGGCGTGGAGGGGTCGCAGCAGCCGTGGGCGCCAAAGTATGTATTTGTTGCGCAGGTTTGCGTAGAGTTTGGACAGGTTATTGGACTTGCTGGGCAAGGTCAATATATTGTTGTATAGGAAATAGAGGAATTGACCTGAAGACCCAGATACATAGCCACATGTATATTCATTCCCAGTGCGCTTGAGTAGGTCAAGAGGAAGCTGTGGTGCAGCCGTTGGCGCAGGACTCCAAGTATTGAATGGGACAAAAGGTGTTGGTTCTGGTATTTTCGCAAAAGCTGCAGCGTTTGCGATTCCTGGAGCCAAAAGGGCCAGGCGGGAAAGTTTGGTCGTCATTGCGTCTCCATGTGCGCGGTGTCTGGTTTGGTGATGCGAACAAGGTAGTATAGAAGATGAATTGGCAAGTCGGCTGGGGAAGCGGCAGGACTAGTTAAAGACGGCCGCTACGCAATGGGCTGGGAGAACAACACAAGACATGCTGCGGCCGGGTAGGGTCCAGGCTAGGGTTGTCAAGATCGGGCGTCAATCCAATCCAAGGCAGAGTCGCGGTGGTGGGCATGCGCATCAGTCAGCATTGGATGGCGAAAGGCAGAGGGCATCTTCTCCATGTTGCCCAGCCCCCCTGGATCATCCCAGCTTGCGTTAGACGAGCGAATAGTGGACCACCCACGGACTGATGGCTGCAAATGTACGCCGGATCGAGGCAAGCGCGGGGATGCAGCCGAACAGAGGTGGGGTGGAGAGCGTGCAGAAACACCAAGACAGGACCATAAATAGAGCCGGCACGTGGTCAACGAGCACAGCTCTGCGCCATGAGAATCCGCTGGCGATTGGATGGGTTAGTAGGCCTCAGGATGTCATGGTTCGCAAGATGAGATGGATAGGCCGAGACATCGAACCAGCAAAAAGCAAAGCAAGCCGCCGCACAGAGGGCGATCGTGGGGCAATGGCGCATAAACTTCGACCTAAAATGTGCATTCAGCCACGGGAGATTAAGCGACGGGCACCCACGCGATTCGGCGGCGGCCATGGCCCAAACTTCTCTACAATCAGCCGCGTGGATGGCCTGACTGTGGCTACACGTCGCATTCTGCATCTCGCTCGCACTCGCACTCGCATACTTCACGGCTCGCTCAAGGCGTACGGGCTGACGGTTCCACGTAGAGATTGGCCCAGTTCAACATGTCGCCGGCGGTCCCACTCTTCAGCATGACTATATACAGCCATCGATACGCCACGGTAGAGCCGTTGTACCAATAAGCAGAGTAACTTCTCCAGATGCTGTTCATGGGTATACGCGTACAGAAATCAGACGAGTCGCTATTTGCGCTTGTGAGGGCCGACAATCTTGGGGTACATTCTCGAGAGGTGGAAGTTGATGTTGTTCTTCTTCTGGTTGGGGTCTCGCTGGAGGGGTTAGGCAGTGTGTCGTGGACGCAGAAGATATACGTACTGGCGCATCCATGCACTGGCGCAATTTCTGCTCAAGCTGTGCGCAGCCTTGCACGCTGTATCCAGACGATGCCCAGCATCCTGTTCACGTCAGCCTGTTCATCCATGCATATGACAATTGAGACGCACCCAGAACGGACGACATGGCTCCCAGACATGGGTTCGTCTCTGGCTTGTTCGGTTGTCGCACGCGGAGCTTGGGGAGGGGAGGAAGCGGGCGGTGCGTGGCCGACTGGACGGCGCTGCTTTTTGGTTTTGGCACCATGGTGGGAGGGGATGAATTGGGCAGATGCAGCGGGCGTGGCGAGTTGGTCGTTGGTATTATATGAAGAAGTTTCCCGCGGCAGTGTCCTTGGCGCGTGCGGAGCTGCCCCATGCCAATCCCTGCATAGCGGCGCTGCTGGTTTGTTTACCTACGCCATCCACCTAGCGACCGACACAACACCGCCTGATGCCACGATACTAACGACCCTCACGACACCGCTTCATGTTTGCGCGTCCCCGCCTCTCCTATCCGTAGTATTCTTCGCCAACGACGCCATGGCCCCCTCGCCGCGCAAACGCGCCGCTCCCACCGCCACAACAGTCTTCAACACCACCTGGAACGAGGCCGATGCCGCATATCTCGACCCCAGCACGCTGCCCGTTGCCAAGATCCCCCGCGCCTGGGAGCGCAAGCCTGAAGTGAAGCGGATTGGCCAGGGAAAGGAGAAGAAGATCTGGCGGCGATTCAACCTGCGCTCGCGTACCGACACGGCCGAGGACGACGATGACGACGAGCAGGATGCGCGCTCGAGGCCCGTCAAGAAGCGCCAGCACATGAGTCCCAAAGCCATGGAGAAGACTGGAAAAAAGCGCGCCTTCAAGGCCACGCGCTGGGACCGCAGGAAGAGCGTGCTGCCAAGTAGGCCTTCCGCCACGGTCACTCACCGTATACTGACGCGCTTTAGGAAAGCGAACTGCTGCCTTTGGAGGGCCGGCCGAAAATGGTGACGACGAGGGAGACAGTTGCGATATTACCGAAGGCGACAGCGCAAGCTTCAACGACATGGACGAGACGATGCAGGGGCAAGAGACAGAAGAGCACCATGACATGGAAGACGCCACTCTTGCCAAGCTATTCCGCTCGCCTGTCAAGGTCGAATATCCCGAGCTTCCAGAGATTGAACAAAGGTCTGAAGCAGTCGAAGAGGCGGCGGATGTGGAGATTCCAGAGCAGACCGAGGCTATCACAGAGACTCTCGAGCAAACCGAGGCGGCCAATGAAGCAGAGACTGCAGAGCAGACTGAGACGGCCGAGATTCAATATCCCACATTACCACTCGTCAAATCTCCGGAAACGCATTTGAGCAATACCTACGATGCAGACAAGGCGGATGACGTATCAGACTCCGCAGAAGCATGCGACTCGGACGAAGAATTTACCGAAGCCTCGCTACAGCTGGATATCCTACGCGACTATCAAAAATCCTCGCAAACCCCACCGACAAGGGAAAATGAGATATCTAGAGTGGAACAATCTCAGGATATATCTGAAAACTCCACGGAAGCAAGCCCCGCTGAAAGTACTCCTGTCAAAACTGAGCGGGACGATTCCAACGAGACAATCCAAACAAACTCACCCCAGGACCATGCCATGACTGATATCACAGATGGGCTAGTCCTCTCACTGACCCCCACGAAATCTGCTTCTACCCCGCGGAAACTGGATTCACCCCCACCTCGCCTTGCATCCGGTGCCGAAGATACAACCATGACAGTCTCCTTTGACGATGACACAGCCATGCTCAAGGACTTTCTCAACCGCGCTGCCGCCAGCAAGGCTGAAAAAGCTGCCCTCACCACCCATCGAAGGGAGTCTTTGCAGAACCGTCGTGATTCCGATGTCGTTCGATATGCTTTGGCCTCTCCTCGCAAGGCGCTTGAAGAAAAAGACCCCAATTCGCCATCCAAACACACCACCGAGTTGACGCTGGATCTCTCACAGACACCAACACTGAGTGCCCCTAGCGAGACTCCATCACCCACGCCGGACGTAGCCGTACCCGAAGGCGCAGAAGAAGCGAACAAGGGCACAAGGCGCTCATCAAGAGCAAAAAAGTCACGACTACCCGCGCCAGCATCAAGCGGACCAGCCCCAACCCCCAAGATTGCCATTCGCCGCAACGACGGAAACGAAGTCGTTGTGCTGAAAAAGGACGACGCAAAGGTTTTGGCCGACCTGACTCGCGCCAACACACGCAAGAACAAGCAGGGCGCTTTTTGCGTTACCGTTCGCCTGATGAAGGCGCAAATGGAGGCAATTGGCCAGCCCCCTGTTGACGACGCAACCAAGGAGATTGTTGTTGGGAAGAACGTGCGCTGGGACGAGCAGCTAGCATACTACCAAGAGAACCCAGACACCATCGCCAATGCCTTGGCAGAAGCCGAATCGCTAGCGACACCCGACGAACTTAGTTTCTCGGATACCGGCTCGGAGCCCAAGAAGAAAAAGGAAAAAATAAGCAAGACATCCACCCCCAAAGTTCGGAGAGCAAGGGGCTTGGGTACCGCCAATGGGACTCCAGCAAAGGGCCTGACAGCATCCTCGTCGCTTCTTCCCGAGGCTGTCCAGCAGGAAAAAGAAAAAGGTAGGGAAAAGGCCGCATGCCCTGCCAAACAAGCGGAAATCCCAAAGCCAAAAGTCGCAAAGGCGAAGAAAATGCCTGTGGCGTCTACCTCGATTGACGCCAGCGTCTCGTCAAACACAGCATCGCCTCGCCTTCCCTCTCTAGATGTCGCTCCCGTCGGCATCTCTTCCACAGCAGCACCACAGCGAAAAAGCCGTCTTGCTGCTCCGCGAAAAGTCGTCCTGCCACAAGTCTCTTCCTCATCCACAAGCACAGTCGGAGACGGCAAGGAGAACTCGACGTCGCTACGATCATCATCAGCCTTTGGCCTGGGCCTCAGCGATGCAACGCCCAAAAAGGGGATTCCCGCGCCCAAAGTCGTGGTTCCGCCGTCTTCTTCCACTTCAATCCCGAGTGTAGCCGGCATGGAGTCGTCAGGCTTGCCTAGACGGAGGGGCAAGAAATACTAGTCCCCATGTCTTTTGCTTGCTTTTTCTATATTTATTCCTCTTTCTTTCTCGTTGGAGCTGCATGTTCGTATATGGTTGTCTGTTCTTTTTTTTCTGCCATTGTTGCTTTACTTACTTGTTCTATACCACCGTTTTCTATGTCTCCCATCTCACACGGGTCAGGGTTCTGCATCTTTTGCCGGAGTTTAGATAAAGGTGCATTTTCAGGTGTATAGGCGTAATCGTTGTTGTTGCTGTTGTATCAGAGGACTCGTTCTGGGTAATGAAACATGTTTATTCTTGCATGACTCCCGGTTTTTTATTTTCGATTGAGAAGTGGCAATAAACGACTTTTCATTTCCTGTAGCTTCTGTCATTTTTTCTATCACCCCTTTAAATGTGAATAAGCAACGCCAAACACGCCGTTCCTGCATCTACACACTCAACTCGCTGACCTTTGCTCCCTGGATATACGCCTGGTACTTTTCCAGCTGCTTGTCCAGCACGCCACCCTTGCCGCAGAACTTTTCGACAATCTCCTGGCTACGGCCTGTATACAGCTTGCTGTCGAGCATGTTGTCCAGCTCGCTCCAGATGGGCTTGAAAAAGTCGGTCTTGCGGATGCGGTCAACAAGGTCATTGGGCTTGCCCTCGTTCTTGACCTGGGCGCCCGCCTGGTGCGACAGGACGCGAATCTGCTCGTGGGCTTCCTGGCGGGACTCGCCCTTTGCAACGAGGCGCATGATGATGGACTCGGTAATCATAAAAGGGAGCTCTTCCTGGACACGCGCATCGACGCGCTTGGGGTACACGACAAGGCCCGAGGTGACGTTGTCGAGGGACAGTAGGATGGCATCGGCGAGGAGGAACATCTCAGGAATGTCGATGCGGCGAATGGCCGAATCGTCCAGACTGCGCTCCATCCACTGGTCTGACAGGGTGTTGGCAAACGAGGCGGGCTTGGACATGAGTTCTCGCGACAGGGCGTAGATGCGCTCCGAACGCATGGGGTTGCGCTTGTACGCCATGGCCGACGAGCCAATCTGGTCCTTTTCAAACGGCTCCTCGAGCTCTTTCCACGCAGCGAGGTGGCGGATATCTCCAGTAATCTTCTGCGCACTAGCTCCCAGTCCGCAGATGGCGTTTGCAATGATGAGATCGACCTTGCGCGTGTAGGTCTGTGTGGAGACGGCGTAGCACGAGGGGAATCCTGCCTTCTTGCACAGGAGCTCGTTGAGCTGGTCGCACTTTTGGCTGTCGCCGTTGAAGATTTCGAGAAAAGAGGCCTGCGTTCCAGTAGTTCCCTGCGCGCCGCGGAACTGCAAGCTCTCGCGCACGCTCTCAATCGCCTCGAGGTCAAAGAGAAGATCCTGCGCCCATTGGGCCGCGCGCTTTCCGACGGTGATGAGCTGGGCGGGCTGCAGATGGGTGTAGGCCAGGGTGGGTTCCGATTTCCATTGGAGGGCAAAGGCCGAGAGGTTGGAAATGACTTTTGCGAGTTTGGGCAGCAGGAGGTCCAGACCGTCGCGCATGAGCAGGAGCTCGGCATTGTCTGTGACATAGCAGCTCGTTGCCTATGCAATCAGCTTTGATCAATACATAATATAATTGACTTACTCCGTAGTGGATGATTCCCGCCGCAGCTGGCGCGACCTGTCCATATGCGTGGACGTGAGCCATGACGTCGTGCCTCCTCTTCTTCTCCTCGACCTTTGCAACGCCAAAATCCTCGTCGGTAACAGTCAGGTGCTCCCTCATCTGGCTCAGGGCTTCGTCGGTGATACTCTCAATGCCGAGCTCCTTCTCCGACTCGGCCAGGAACAGCCACAGCTTGCGCCATGTCGAGTGGCGGCTGCGCTGCGAGAAGAGCTGCGACATCTCTGCAGAGCAATAACGCCCTGTCAGAGATGTCTGGTACAAGTCGAAGATTGTGGCGCCGGCCTGCTGCTTCATGGTGGATATGCGGCTCTGGATGTTGAGGGCGTCTGTGGTGTTGGCCATGGCTGGTGCGGGGTGTTGAGCACGCGTCTGAATAGTCTTCCAGTTTGGTCGAGGTAATGGCAATGGCAATACAATGAAATGACAGGGGCAGACTCAGCAATGCATATGCTTGTGGTCTCCAAAACTTGGAGAATGGAAATATGGATCAAGCCAGGCCTGCTGGTCAATGGTTGTGGCTTCCTTTTCTACCCGTTGGGCCATGACGTCTCACGTGTAGTCAAAAACTTTTGGAGCCTCGCTAAACCCCACATTGCTATCGCACGTCAATGGGCCTAATATCCCACCAGCCACTGTCAGCGAGTCGGACCGAGCCAGTCACATTTCAGACGGTTGAGTTTGTGGGTTATTGTGAATAGTCTATGAAGAGTTTAATCACTCTCAACACTCAGCCCGCTGTAAGCTTCTGACAGGCCAGAGATAAAGTCGCTGCATCCCATGCGGGACTGGACTTCACGCCCCGGGAACGACAGCCTAGACCTATATCTGATCTCGCCTACTCCACAATGCTCTGGCCTCCGCCGTTCATGCGGCTCTGCCCAACTCCACACTCATCTCCGCGGACTACAACGCAGGCCCCCGCCACACGTCCCGGTTGATCTTGAACAGGTTGCTCTGCTTGTGTGGAAAACTAATCTCGCGCTCCTTGTAGAAGCCTGCTTCTTGCAGATAATTGGCAAGCCTGCAGCCGTTAGCACACTTCATCGCAATTGCCGTGAGACGTACTTTTCATTGTCCACCCGCGGCTCCAACATGACTCTCTCCGTCCGGTTGTCCGCCAGCCAGCAGTAGTGCACCAGCGCGCTTAGCCAGATGCGAATCCGATGCGGGCCACGGAACTCTTGCTCGCCCACCAACAAATGGAAGCCTCGGTCGTAATCGCCAACCATGGGTAAGTGCTTGCCGAGATTGTCCTCCTTGACCCAATACAGCTCGAAATAGCCAAACGGCTTGCCGTCCCAGCATCCGATGACGGGGAACGAGTTTCTAGACTGCAGTCCTTTCCGCAGAAACTCTTCCTGGTGCGACTGGGGACCCGCTTCGCCCCAGAAATGCGCCACGCGGGGGTCATTCATCCACTTGTGCAGGTATTCCACATCCGACATGCCATTGCCGCCTGTGCTGCTCGCAGACAAGGGAGAGTCGGGCGCGGCAGTCCCGCTGCTTCGATGCGGGTTCGGTGGATGCGACACGGGGCCTTGGTAACGCAGTGCCTTGGAAGAAATGGACGCCACGCGGAACGAGAGATACTGCCCGACGCTGGGAATGTATCTTGTATACAGTATCTCGCCCTGTCGCGGTGGCTTCGGACGTATCGGGTGTCGGACGTTGTTGGTAAAGACGTACTGGGCTGGCGGCGGGGGATAGTAGGTCGGCAGGTGCGAGCTCGAGTGGAATGGACCTGGCGCAGTGGGCGACCACAGGCCTTGAGAGACTTGCTCTACCTGTTGCTCCTTGGGCTCAGCTCCCGCGGCGGGCGACGCCGGTCGCGAGGGGTACGGCGATGCTGATGGAAAGGGCGAGTTGTTGTTAGCCAGCGGTGAGAGAGTGAACAGGTAAATCCTAGGGTCGAGCTGCCAAAAGGTGCGCCGACTGACAAACATGCGCGACCAGCCCTCAGGCGACGATTCCTCTTGAGCGCAGCCCACGCTCGAATCCTCGGTTGCGATGAGCCCCATGCGCTCGAGCTTGGGCAGCACCACCTTGCCCTTGAAGACGCCCTCTCTGTTGATGTTGATCCTCCACTCGCCCTTGGGCTTGCCTGCATCGGCCGTGTTCTTGGACATGGCATTGGTGACCTGCAGCGTCGGCTCGGGCTGGTGGAAGTACCAGTACAGCGTGGCCCACAGCATCATGGCGATCTGGCGCGTGGGCGAGGCGGCGGGGCGGAACTCGCTGCTGCTGGGATTGGAGATGGACGAGATGTAGAGGTGGTCGCCGCTCAGCGTCGGGCGCTTGAAGCGGTGCACGCGGCGCGGGGGGAAGAGGTCCTCCTCGCCCTCTTGCGGCTGCAGCTGCTGCTCGTCGTCGAGCGTGTCGACTTCATCCTCGGAATTGAGCACGACGGTCCAGCCGGGTGGAAAGGGCGAGTGCGTGTGGATGTCGCTGGACTTGAAGAAGAGGCCGCCGAAGACGGGCGTGACGCTGAGGTTCTGGCCATTGGGCAGGTGGACGACATTGACGGGGGGCATGATGGCGTTGGCGGGGTAGCGGCGCTATTGCTGTCAGGAAGAAGAATGGGAGCCGAATAGGGCGACGTGTGCAGGAGAGGCAGCAGAAATAAACCACACTACATGGCGTGAGCCCATAAGCGCAATTGCTGGAAGCGGCGTTGACGCGCCTGACTGGCACTTTCTTGCGCGAGCACGCGACGCTCAAAAATGCGTGGCTTTGCATCCACATGCTTATACGCGGGCAGGCTAATTGCCCGAGAACGCCCGCGCAGGCGATTCGAGGCCATTGAGACGGCAGCGGCGGCGAGATGGCGTCGAGACATGTCAATTGAGATGCAGAGCGAGCAGGAGAAGCGTGAGATGCGACGGGGGCGATGCATCCATGATACGCACGTCACGCTGAGCAGCGCGTCGTTATTGGCGGGCGACATGGCCGTGGTGGTTGAGCGAAGAGGGGAGAGAGCTCGAGAAGCTCGGCCGCGTGCGTATGACGAAATGCTGGGCGATAAATCCGCAGCTTCCCCAGAGCTTCCCGCGCCGTCTCCGCATAGCACCACCACAACACCACTCGAGCACCACCTGACCGCCCAATTGCCCATCATGAACACGGCTCTCCTCCGCACTTCGGCCCTGCGCTCCGCCGCCCGCGCCGCCGCTCCCGCCTGCTCTCGCGCTGGCCTGGCCGGCACCTCGTTTGTTCGCGGCAAGGCCACTCTGCCCGACCTTCCCTGTACGCCCGCGCGACTAAGAAACTGTTCCAAGAAGAGCTCTCCTAACACGACACAGACGACTATGGCGCGCTCGAGCCCTCCATCTCGGGCAAGATCATGGAGCTGCACCACAAGAACCACCACAACACGTACGTGACGTCGTTCAACAACTTCAGCGAGCAAATCGCAGAGGCCAAGCAAAAGCAAGACATCCAGGCCCAGATTGCCCTGCAGCCCCTCATCAACTTCCACGGCGGCGGCCACATCAACCACAGCCTCTTCTGGGAGAACCTGGCCCCCACCAGCCAGGGCGGTGGTGAGCCTCCGTCTGGCGCTCTTGCTGCTGCCATCAACAACAACTACGGCAGCCTCGACGCCTTCAAGGAAAAGTTCAACACTGCTCTCGCTGGTATCCAGGGTAGCGGCTGGGCGTGGCTTGTGCAGGACACGCAGACGGGCGGTATCCAGATCAAGACATATGCCAACCAGGACCCTGTTGTTGGCCAATTCCGTCCTATTCTCGGCGTGGATGCCTGGGAGCAGTAAGTGTCATGTTGAAATAGAATAATTCCTACTAACGCCGCTAGTGCCTACTACCTCGACTACCAGAACCGCAAGGCCGAGTACTTCAAGGCCATTTGGAACGTCATCAACTGGAAGGCAGCTGAGAAGCGTTTCAAGTAAGCTTTGAATCAAGTAATGACACGGCTGCAGCAGGATAGTCGCCGGGTTTTTTGATAGAGCATGTTAGTTTTAGTAATATACCAGCAAGCCATGTCATATCAACTCTCATGCATCATGTACAATTGTTCGCTTCTCATCATATTAAAATTTATAACATGCTCCATAGAGCATTCAGAACTTTACATACAATAGAATGAAAACACGCCCTCTCCTTTTTTTTGTGCAAGATGAACTATAACTCGTATCATGTCTTCTGTTAAAACACGCCAGAACGCTAATTCAACCCCCAAGTAACGCTGAGTCGAAGAAAAAAACTATGTAAATACGAAGATGAATGTGCTGCTAGAAAAAAAAACGAATGCTACACCATCAACACCATCCACTCCAAGCCCCAGTCCCAGTACAGTCCAGTCCAGTCCAGTCCAGTCCATTCCTGCCTTGCCATGCCTTAAAGAAAGTCGAGATACCACCAAAAAAAACGAAGAATGCCATGCCGTACTTACTGACTGACTGACTGACTGACTCGCTTGCTTGTTTATTTCCAAACGCTGAACGAACGACCAAACGATTGACAAGACTTGCCCGTTACGCCCCACCCTATAAATGTGCTATAGGGAGAAGAAAAAAAATAAAGCTCAAGACAAATAAAGGAACGAAGGAAGAAAAAAGGTTAATTCCGTATACCCTGCATCCAGCGATCAATCTGGTCCCGTTGTCTGGGATCCATGGGCGGCCCCATCATTCCGCCCTGCATCATACCCATGTTCATGCCAGGCATGCCAGGCATGCCCATGCCCATGTTCATACCGCCCATTCCCATTCCCATGGGCATGCCGCCCATGCCGGGCATTCCCATGCCCATGTTCATGCCCATTGGTCCGGCTCCGCCCATCATCGACGGTGCCGCTGGCGCCATGGGAGATGGCATTGGCATCCCCGGCATGCCCACAATCGTGTTGGGACGCATCATGTTGTTGAAGCCCATGCCCATGCTCATGGGATTGTTCATCATGGGCTGTGGTGACGGCTGCTGCATGCCCATGTTGAAGCTGGACGTCGACATCATGCCCATGTTGTTGCTCATGCCTAGCACGCTTTGGGGCGGGGGCGGGGGCCGAGCTTGAGGCACGGTCTGGTGCTGGTACTCTGGTTGTTGCGGTGATTGTTGTTGCGGCTGCGAGGAAGGCCCAGCAAGGCTCAGTCTGTGGACGGATTCGCTTGTTTGTTTTGGCTTCATCAACCTCGGGTTGTACGTTTCCTTGTACGCTTGAATCTTCTGGCGAAGAGGAATGTCGTCGTCGTCTTTTTCCTTGTCGCCTATGCCTGGGACAAGCGGGTCCAAGGGGCCATAGCTCGAGGCTCGTCGTGTGGCGGCGTTCAGCCGTTGCTGCTTTCTGCGCTCTTCTTCAACGATGTTTTTGTGCAGGAGACTACCTTGGGGGAGAGTCGACAACAGTGCTTCGTTGGATACTTTGCGTGTTTGGTTGTAGGGATCAAGAGGATTGGCCGAAAGAATGTCTGCGAGGGAAGATGATCCATGTAGCATGGGACGCTGGGTAATGTTTTCACCACGAGCCGCTGCCTCGGCTTGGAGGCGCGCGCGGCGTTGACCAAGAGTCTCCTCCTCTTCCTCTCCGGCGTGTGCGGGAGTCGTGTCCTTGGGGCCGTCCTCGGCTGCATCTTGACCACCAAATTTGCTCATCATCTCGGCGGCAAAATCAGCACTTACGGCACTCTTACGTATGTCAGCGCCCAAGGCTGAGTCGAGCTGTTGCTTTTCCCTGAGTCGACGCATGCGGTCTGCCAAAGTCTCACCCTCCTCCTCATCCGAGACGCCTTCAGCCCCAGCTTCAGGGCCAACAGGATTCGGCTGGGGAGGTGGCACTTGTCGTGGAGGGTCACGATGGTTCGGGGGAAGACCGCGGAGCCTGTTTCGCCGCCTGCTCAATGGCTCGTGGTCCTCGAGTTCACGTTGCTCGATAAGTCCCAGGGGCTTGCGCACCAGATGCTGTAGTTGAGGTGCGGCCTCCTTGTAAAGAACACCAAGCGGCACGTCGTCTTCAGAGTCATCGTCATCGGCTTCCCATGCAAGGTTGACCTTCTTGCGAAGTCTCCGTTGCTTCTCTGCCTCGGCCACATCGTTCAGCTGGAGCAAAGTCTGACGACCGTCGATTAGACCCTGTTCCATTAGCGTGACGTAGTTCATATTCCTGCCCTTTTGCTTTGCTTGACGCAATTGCAGCTCCGCTAGGAGAGTCGTTGGTGCACCGTATTGTGGCTCTGGCTCTCCCTCCTCTTCCTCTTCCTCTTTCTCTTCTTCCTCCTCCTCTTCTTCCTCCTCCTCTTCTTCTCCCTCATGCACCTGTTGCTCGTGCTCTCGCGCTTCACGCTCCCGCTCCTCGCGCTCCTCTTCAGCCTGGTCCTCGTTCAGAGCCTGGTAATAACGACGAGGGGCAGGCGCCTTCTTCTCTGTATGAGGGCCTCGATCATCCTCTGCAGGATGCTCCAATTCATCGCTCAGGCTCATCCGGCTTTCGCTTGCCTTGACCAGCAGCAGATTCATGTCAGCCGAGCTGTTGCGCTTCTTCAGCTTCTTCAGTCGTTCGCCATTTGCATTGTGATTAGTGTCCAATATATTAAAGGAGCTCCGCCTTCTGACCTCGCGCAGCCCAGTCGGGACTTCTGGCGTCTTGGAGCTCTTGCGCTTGTGCTCGGGTTTATAAACGTCATGGCTTACATCACCAGCAAAGGGATGGTCGGTGAATGCAGAGACTGGTGCACGTGCAGAAGCATCCAAGATGCTCTCAAGGGTATCTTGGGCAGATTCGCCCTTGACGGCGTATTCTTGCGTAGGGGTTGCTCGATTGTCGAAATAAGCACTCGCTCGCAGTTGAGGCGGAAGATTCAGCAAGCTCTGCCTGGTCCTTCTCTTATTTCCTGCATCAGGCACCCCGGCCATGTGCATCGACTTTCTGTTTTCAGATTGCATGGATTCCAGAACCTGTGACCGGCGCTGGGCTCGTGCCTCGGCAGGGGGAAGATTGGATAGGCGCTGTGGAAGGTTGAGCATCCTTGGTACCGGAGCAGGATAGAAGACCATGCCGTCTTCAGGCGGTGGTGCACCTAGAGAATGGCCTGAATGGCTGTCCATCATAAAAGACTGGCTGTACGAGGATGGCCGGCTGTGTCCGTGATTGCTGCCGTACATGGACTCGGACTCCTCGCGCACGGTATCTGGGCAGTGGGTGCCGTCAAAGTCGTGCCACAGTGTACGTGCCTGGTGGGTGGTATCGGTCGAGGCCGCTGTGGGGGGGCGGTCGGGGACATTGCGGGGATCGGGGTACCCGTCGTCGACATGTTGGTGATGGCGCTCGTCGGGCTGTCTGGGCGGCGTGCCTGTAATGATGCTATCGCGCAACTCTGCTGGCAGGCCATTTGCAACGTCGTCGAATAGGCGGGTAAAGGACGAGACTTTGCGCTGCGGGGGTGGTGAAGAGTCCCGCTCTTCAGCCACGGGCGCGGATTGGGGCGAGGCGAGGGTGCGGTCCTTTTTGTTGTCCTCGTCCTCCTCTGCATGTACAATTTGTCCCAAGCGGGAGGCCTTGGACTCTGAGCGCTGGCGCTGGATTGACGTCGAGGGCTTGGCAAAGGTTCCAGAGCGCAAAGAGCCGGCGGGTGACGTGACGTAGCCGCCTGGCGAGTAGCCGCCCCATCGTGCGTTGCCGTTCAGGTCGACTATGGAATTTGCGTGGGAACTGATGGAGAGGCCACGGCTCCTGGTGCTCAGGCGTCTCGTCAGCTCGTCGCCCGTCTGCAGCGAGTGCAGCGAGGAGCAGCGGCTGTCGGTCAGCTTCAACTCCGAGTACGTCTTGCGTATTTCCTCCTGGAGGTCTGAGCCCGACTCGCTCATGCGCTCGGCATGTTCCTCCAGGCGCTCGATATTGCCGACATATGCCCCTTGCAGCGATTGGAGATCGGGGACGGGGTGACGGAGGGCGACGTTGGGCTTGCCGGGCGAGCGCATGGGGGCGGGCTGCGACAATGGCGGAGTCGAGGCCATGGTGGAGGCCGGCAGCAGGCAGACTGCTGCTCAATGAGGCCAGGTAGTTCAGCGAAGAGATCGTAAAGGGGATTCTGACAGTGTTTGTTGCACCGACACCGACATGGATAGGGCGGTGATCCTCAACCAAACCCATTCCAATAATAGCACGCGCAACGGCCAGGGGGCTGATGACGGCCGCTAGCCATTGGCTTGGCGCGGTCACGGTTCCCTTGGGCGCGCCCTCGGCAACCCGCAATTTTATTCACCGCGCATGCGGCCCTTGTGTCTGCGCATGCACACCACGCCCAGACGACAGACGACCGCGTGCGCCCATTCTGCCAGCGCCGATATCCCCGTATACGAAAAGCCGAAGCAGCCTGTGTCTGCGACATGATGGATGCCGAGGGAGGCAAGCGGAAGCACAGCTTCAGGCAGCAGCCCAACAAGCGCGCAAAGGCCGAGGATGGCAGCGCGCTCAAGACGGGCTTTGGCGCCAAGATGCTGGCCAAAATGGGCTACAAGGGCGAGGGAGGTCTGGGAAAGGAGGGTGGCGGTATCGCGGAGCCCATCCAGGTGGTGAATCGCGGCACCAAGGGAGGAATTGGCTCCGTGGCGGAGAAGAGCGAGCAACAGAAGCGCGAGGAGCGGCGCAAGGCTGAAGAGAGGGGCGAAAAGTATGTCGACACGTCCGAGGAGGAGCGCGAAGAGAGGAAGAAGAGAAAGGCAAAGGCCAGAGGCGAGGCGCGGACCGCAGCCCCGCGACCCAAGAAGACGCTGTACGAGCTGGAGGCTGCTGGGATGCATGTCCCGCCTGTGCTGCAGTCCATCATCGACGCGACAACAGGCACGTCCACGCCCACGTCCGGCGTGTCGCTGCGCGGACCCGACATTGTGCCATTCGAAAACTCGCTACAGGCCCGCGTGCGGAGAGACCTGGCCAGCTTCTCGGAAGCCTTTGAACAACTGCAGATTGAGTCGCAGTCGATCCCGCCCCAGGAGTATGCGCTGCAAAAGGAACTCGAGGCGTTGGAGCGCCAAATGGACGAGCTCGAGGACCTGCACGCACGGATCCAGTCATTGCGTGCTGTGTCGTTTGAAGACGTCTGCAAAGGGCTGAAGAGCCTGCGCGCCGCATATCCCTCCAAGCCACTGCATCGCGAGTCCATTGCCCTCCTGCACCCACACTTTGCCAAGGCCGTCGCATCATGGGACCCGCTCGAGGACGCGTTGGAAGACATGGCAGCAGCCTTTTCGGAAATGGCCGACATCATACAGCCCCGAAGCAGGAGAATTGTATCCCAGGCCTACACGCATCCTTCCGAAGCGCTGGTTAGTCGCAATGCAATCGAAGAGGAGGACACAATCAAGCGCGGAACTACATCGTCATACGAGTCTATGATGCTGAAGCTGTGGCTCCCTACCATGAGCTCAGCCGTAACGCAATGGGACGTCAAGCATCCACGGCCCATGGTGCATCTGGTCGAGGTGTGGGCGCCAGTGTTACCGCCCTTTATCAGCAAGAGAGTGCTGGAGCAGGTGACACGCAAGCTGTCTACGTCTATTCACGAATGGAACCCTCGCAAGTTCAAGAAAAGCCCACACACGTGGGTCATGGAGTGGCTGCCGTTCCTCAAGCCCGCCGATCTGGACCCCAAGGGATCAGGACTGGTTGCAGAGATTAAGCGCAAGATCCGGCACGCCCTACAGTCTATGGATATCTCCAGGGGCCCGTTACCAGGAATGGAGCAGTGGCGGAGGCTGTTTGGCGAGAGTGAGTTTGAGCACATGCTTACGTCGCATCTCGTCCCGCGCTTAGCCGCCCATCTGCGAGACAACTTTGAGGTCAACCCTGCTGAGCAAGACCTGGCGCCGTTGGAGGCCGTGTTTGCATGGAAGGGGCTCATATCGAACGAGACTATTGGAGAGCTGCTCAAGACGCAGTTCTTCCCCAAGTTCCTGGAAATTGTGCACCAGTGGCTGTCGAGCGAGGAGGTGGTGTTCAAGGAGGTGGAGACGTGGCTTGCGTGGTGGAAGAATGACATTCTGCAGGATGACATGAACGACCTGCCGTCTGTTGCTTCGGGCTGGAATGAGGCGTACGCTCTTATCAACCAGGCGCTGGATCTGGGCGAGGCGAGGCTGACTGATCTGCCGGCGCCGCAGATGGAGAGCACCGAGGCGTCTGCAGAGAGCGCTCGACTGTCCAAGTCCACCGCCAAGGAGCCGCCCCGTCCGGCGCCGCAAGTGCAAGAGGCAACGTTCAAGGACGTGGTGGAGGAGTTTTGCGCAGAGGAGAATCTGCTCATGATCCCGCTGCGCGAGGCACACGACCAGACGGGGCTGCCTCTGTTCCGCATCACAGCAAGCGCTACGGGACGGGGGGGTGCAGTGGCGTACCTCAAGGGCGATGTGTTGTGGGTGCAGAACAAAAAGGACAAGAGTGTGTGGGAGCCGACGGGGTTGGACCAAGCACTGATTGCCAAGGCCGAGGGCAAGTGACGACGCGACTACCGGTGTGACAGCGAGCGATGCAGGGTAAGCTCCTACAGCCTCTGGGCAGATATGTACTCGCATTCGCTAATCCAGCATCGGCGTGATGCATGCGTAGGTAGTGATAGTGATGTGCCGGCACGCGGCGGGGCGTAGGCGGGCTTGAAGCGGAAATGAAAGCGGGCGTCGAGTGTTAGGGCAGCGCCTTCTGGCGTGACGAGTTGCTAGTGACGACCATGTGAAGGCGGCCGCGCGTAGGGCGTTTTGCGGACATGGCGACGAGTGCATGCACTTGGACTTGTGCATGAGTCGTCTCGACACAAGGCGGCGGCCAATGCGCAGGGCAATGCCAGGAATCGGCGGCGATTGCATGAAAACGTGGAAGAGGATGCTGGCGATCGCGGAGAATTTGAGCCCCACGAGGCCCAGCAGAAGCATTTGCGTGAGGGAGAGGAGACGTCGTTGGGCGGAGTGGCTGGTGGGATTGCTAGCGTCGACGGCGGGCGGCGCGCTGATTGGCCGGGCCGGGCGCTTAGCAGAGGCGGGCGCCGGCCAATGGGCGGGCGCAGCTGCATGTGCATTTTTAGACACCACGCCCGACGGTTCATGCATGCGGTCCTCGAGCCGGCCGCACATCAGCCGGGCGGGTTTCGAGCGGCTGGCAGTGCGCAGAAACATGTTTCTGAAGACGATGCATCACCTGCTTGGCGCCGTATTCGCGTTCGTGTTCTCGTCCGGCCGTGAATGTGTGTGTGTATGTAGTAGCAGTACACCTAGGCGTCTGTGTATGTAGGTATGTGCAGTGAGTCGCCTCATCCCGCTAGCTCATATCGGGACTAGCTCGGCACTAGCCCCCTCCAGGCGACCCCGCCCCAGCGGCTGGCGGCGAGCATCCACTGGACGCCCGCTCGCCCCTCAGCACGCCGCCCAGCCAATCACGCCGCCCACGCCCATCGCCAGGCCTTCACACCCTCTCGTCCGCTCTGTGCATTCGACCACTTGCAGACCGCCGATCAGATAGTACTTACCCGCCGCCCATCCCTCTTCATATCGCCATGTCGCCTGCTGTTACACTCTGCATTTCACCCGGTTCCTCACTGTCGGGAAGTGGGCTCCTGGATCGTCGCCCTATGCCCGGCGTGTGAGAAGAGACACTCGTCCTCGCCGCCCGCCTCATGTGTATATTTCCTTGATTGTCCCGAAACCATGCGCGAGAGAGCCCTCGTGTTGCTCCTCCTTGTTGCATCGCGTGTTTCTGCCGGCCCCGTCAACTTTATAGACAACTATCGCAACCCCACGGCCCCTTCGCCTGAAGACGGCCCTCCTGGCGCCCGACTCGCAACCCGAGACAAGAGTGTTTTGCCCTACGAGATTTGTGGCATCGTCGGCGGCTACGTCTTTACAGTACTTATCTGGGGCGTCTTGCTCCTCACCGTCGGCAGAAGAATGAGACGCAGAGCACTCGAGCCGCCAAGAGAATTGGAGCTGGAACTCCAGAACAAACCCACCAGGCCGACTCTCAAAACCTCCGGCATGGCCTCGCCGCCCCTCTCGGCCCGGTCGTGGTTGCGAAAGTTCAAGAAGAACGACTCTGGCCCAACCAGTCCACAGAGTCCCGTCGTGCAGTCGCCCAGCTCCTTTGACCAAAAGGTTATCGACGCCCATCGCGATCAGGCCCAAGCCGATATGGAGCGTCTCTACGCTGCCGTCATGGAATACGACGCTAAGAAGCATTCGTCCAGAGTCAGCACAGAAGAGGAGGAACCCGTCGCAGAGGCCGCCGGTTCCACCCAACGGAGAAGGCCGTCTGCCATCAGCGTCTCACACCCCGAGGATACCATTGAAGTCGCTGCGTCGCCTGTGCGAGCCATCTATCCTCCCGTCCAGGAGAGACCGACAACTGCGTCCAATGCTCGTGACCGTCTCCGCGCAGATCAGCCAGCCCCAGCCAGCCCACGCAGCATCCTCTCCAAGCGCTCGCAAACATCAAACGCCACAACCGGCAGCAAGAGTGCACGCTTCAATCTTAAAAACCTCCGCATCTCCGGTCCCATCACAAAGTACCCTGGCGACTCTGACGAGGAGGCACGGAGACCCCTATCACCGCGCTTCTACGCTCCCGGACCCCCGCCCTCGCCCCCAACCCAAACAAACTCACCCACCTCACCCTACGACCAAGACGAAAGCCTCGACCAAGTCCAACCCCTTCCACGCCCAGCACCTCAACGCTCCACTCCCAACAACCCGTGCCTTACCATCTCAACCGCACACCCATCCGCCTCCTCCTCATCATCTCCCAAACCCGCATCCTCAACAAGCCAATCCCTGCCCCTCCGCTCCTTTGCCTCGCCCTTGGCCTCTCCAGGAATCCAGACCACTGTCCTGGACCGCCGCGTCGACAAACTCGCTCTCGGCACTCCTAAAACTGGTGCACCCTTCACTCCCTACAGTCCTTACATGCCATTTACTCCCATCACGCCCGTCACCCCGCACCTGACGACTCGGCGGGATCGAAAGATGGAGAAGAAGATGGAGGGCCGAAGGGGACGTCACCAGGTCAAGGAGGGCATGGTTCAGACTCCCAAGGAGATTTTCGGTGATGCTTACTAGACAGTTTATTTCATTTGGGTGGACTTTTTTTTGTGCATATTAGCGACTTGGAGATTCTTGATGTATGTTATTTTATCTCTCTCTCTATGTAAACAAGTGAGTACGTAAGAGAAAATCGGTTTGCCGCTGGTCTGGCTAGACTAGTTGATGAGTTTTTCCTAGTTATAGTTATCTTTATATATATCCTGTTGGTGTTTTGTTGGAAGACCAAGTTTGCCTTTGTACCGAGGCCGTAATCAATTACGATTACCAGAGTGCATCGCCGCCGGTCCTAGTAGTAGTCGAGTATTATCTACGTTCTATCCTTTTATATGTATTCTCAATCCCAACATTTGTACTGGGTGCAGGTGTTTATTGATTCACTTCCCAAGGCGTATGGTTGGTGAAAATATCGAAATGTAACTATCACTGCTTACTAGCTGTCTTTGATCATGGATAGTGTATACTGATGCTTATATGCTGCATGTAAGATACAATGTATAGCACCTCACTGCCGCCTTCAGCCATACACTCTCCTTCCTATTGAAAACCGCCACATCAGCACATCAAACCCACCTCTAAACCGACCTTGCTCGATAAAAGTCTCGGCACATGCCGAAAATCCCAGTGTAAGCCAGATAGGTGGAGAATTTGCACAAGTCGAAATGGTGGGGAATTCCATTTCCCATTGGTACATATATATATAAATATATATACTCTCAAACTCTAAGCAAAGAACAAAAAAATTTTAACTTTTCTATCTGTAATTGCGTTTCTTGCGCCCATAAGTAGGTAAGCAACCCACCCGTTTTACTGTGTTCCACTAGTAGTGTGGGTGGTCAATGCGTGCAACGGGTCAGACAATGCAACACCCCCTGCATCTCCCAAAGTAGAACCCACCAATTTCAAATCCCCACAACTCCACCACC